CGTGTGGAGGTGCACATGAGTGAGAGAGGTCATGAGCGGCTTGGACTGCAAGCGGGGGAGAAGAGGGCGCTGTATGCGGCCCTGCTCGTTGTGCGAAGGCCTGTGCAGCTGTGTATGCACTGTGCTTCGTACACCAAGTAGAATTAATTGTTTGTTTTTTCTGGTATCAATTTTGTTATCATTTTTCTGTTATAACCAACTACATTTAAATTTTCTAGTTTAGCCCTTTACTTTGTATATAAATAGCATACATTCGAATATCAATATACATAAATCAAGAGAATTTTTCTTCTCTAAATTCATTGTTTATTTCCTTTTCTAATACGGTATTAGAACTATAAGTTCCTACCATTTTCGCTGCACCTCATTAAGCTACTATGGCCAGAGGTGGTGGTGGCTCCTCATCACAAAATCAATTTCAGCCGTTGATGGCATTTTCAACCCAAAATTCACAGACCACCCAAACCTCACAAAACACCCATTCAGATGAAACCCATAACCCATTTTTTCTTCATAGCTCAGATCATCCTGGGCTTACGTTGGTCTTTTACACACTGGATAGGAATAATTACAACACTTGGTTGCACGCGATGTGCGTCGCTTTGAACACCAAAAATAAATTTAACTTCGTGGATAGATCTATTGCTCAACCGGCTGAGATAGATCCTATGGCAGGGGCGTGGTTCCGCTGCAACAACATGGTTCTCTCCTGGTTTCTCAATGCCGTGGCAAAAGATATAGCAGACATTCTCCTCTACCTTGATAGTGCGCAGGCAATGTGGGTCGACCTCCATTACTGGTTCCAACAAAGCAATGCCCCTGGCATTTTTCAGCTAAAACAAATGATGAATAGCTCAGTTGTAACAACCCCGGAAAATATAAAAAAAAAAATGAGTATTTAAATATATCGAATGCGGAAGCGAGATCAAAATTTCAGTTAACATCCCTTACACGAAAAACAAAAAAAAACGTACTTAAAATATAAAAGGTTAAACTAACTAAGAAAGAAAACTCGAAAATAAACTATGCGTATGACTACAGAGTCTCTAGGCATCCCCTTCGTCGTCCTCCTGCGGAACGGGCTCGGGAACCATGTCTTCCTGATCTGAAATGGTTAATTAAGGAGTGAGCTACACTAGCCCAGTAAGAACATCACGATATCTCACCGTCACGGAGATAAAGGTGGGTAGAAAACCACAAAAAGACCAATGGAGCATAATTTACAACAAACTCGTTTATTAACATGAAAACCTTTACCATCTACTTACCTTGGTGGAATTTATGAAAACAATATGAGAAAAACAATAACATCATCATAATCATTGAATAATCTAAGCTGTAAAACATAACACTTATCACGCCTCTTGTAATTCAATCATTGTACAACATATCTCTTTTCTCATTTACCAGCCTACTAGTATCCGTGGGGGTCCATAGGGGTTCCGCTACCCGTTAATCTTTAACATTCATAATCAGTTTCCAGGGCCGTCCCCATACCCCGTCCGGTATGGGCGCCAAAACCATGAACCTCAATACCCCGTCCGGTATGAGGGTGAAACGGGCCGTCCCCATACCCCGTCCGGTATGGGCGCCAAAACCATAAGATCTCCATACCCCGTCCGGCATGTGAGACCACAATCCCGGTAGGATTCCCTACGGACCCGGTCCGTCCACCATCTCCCAGGATATCTAGTCAGGCTAACCCCATCATACAATTATCAGTCTACACAATCTTTCATTTTCCTTTTCCTCAATAAGCATCATCAATTCACATACAAACAAGCAAACAGTAGTTCATGCCAAACAGACAACATACAGTATCGGTTTTTCAGTCATTCAACCCATGATTAATAAAAACGTAGTAAATGCACACAAATCTGTAAAATAAACACATCAAACCTCATTTTGCATTTAAAGCTGTAAACAGGCCAAATAACAGTAAACCACCAATCACACTAGACTCGGGCTCCATTAGCTACCTTAAGCAATTTCACACATGCGTTAATTCAAGAAATACCGTTTTATCATTTTGAACTTTAATACCGTGATAGGAAATAGGGTGAGGGGTCCTTACTTGTTTTCGGGATCCGAATACGATTCACAGTGCGCCTGCAGGCCGTCCCTAATTTTCCCTGAATTTTTCCCGGGGAACTGAAACACACTAACAGTACCTGCACGTGTTCCAAAAAAAATCCAAATTAGGCCCAGGGCCCCTTTCGGACCAAATCGCAACTCCGGCACGGCGGCTCCGCCGTGCTCCGGCGACGGCGCCGCCGCTGGCGGCGGCGAGTCGCCTCGGGTTGACTATTTTCGGCCGTTTTCGGCCGAATTCGGCCACACTCGCATTGGTCCTTGTCAGAAAACAACCCTAGGGCCCTCGGGGGGCCAAAAATCACGGAAAAGCGGAGCTTACCGGCGGCGGCGCTCTCGGGTACGGCGACTCTCCGGCGAGGTTCGTGTTTTGGTGATTTGGCTTCGGTCAACCTGTAGAGAAAAGAATGGTGATCACGGTGATATAAAAATTGCATCGAACGGAGGCCGGGAAGGGCCTCGTCGGAGGCAAAAACCGAGAGGGGGCGCGGCGGCGCCGCTGGGCTTCGACCGCGTATTCCGGCCGTTTGGCCAGGATTTCGGCTTCGATTTGGCCATAGGAGGAATCAGTGGGGAAAAACAAGTCGGGGGTATGAAATTTACCTCGATCGGCGGATGGAAATTTCCCCGGTGCGGCGGCGAGTGGCGGCGGGTGGCGGCGGTCGGCCTCTGGTTCGTCTTCTCCGGCGAGCGGCTGGCGGCTAGGGTTTGTGGTCTGGTGTGGGGGTTCTATTTATAACCCCTTGCCTTTTGATCACAGCCGTTCATTTCGTTTTAATCT